TACTATCTAAACTATTCTCTACACTAATTTATATACATAGTATGTTTAAACTTAAAACCTAAAAAAAAAAAAAAAAGCTTCTTTGATATCAGTACCGTAGAGAGGTCAGAAAAACACACCAATAGGCTTGGAGTATTGTTTGTCTAAGTCATTACATTTGAGGCACGTAATCATAGGTTCACTACTCTATATATATCACGTGTTTGTTGTGACAGATAAAAAAGTAAACAATGCTACCTGATTTGAAAAGTAAACAATATGTCGATTTTTTGGAGGAAGTAAGCTAGATTGTCTACTTTTTACAAAATTTTTCTCAAAAAAATAGTGAAGAGACAACGAAAGTATGTGAGGTTTTTCTGTAAGTTTTATGGTTGTATAGTTGGTTCTACAAGATTAACTATTTCAATGAGGGCTGTTCCACTACTTGCTTTTAGAATAAACTTTCTAGTTTGGATATCAAAAATCTTGGAGAGTCCATCAAGAAGAAAGTTTGACCTCAAGAAAAACTACTTAAGTTACACCTGCTTCTTGATGTTTCATATCTTTCAAGCTTCATCGATAGCAACCTGTTCAGAAGTAAGTTCAGTTCTCAGAATATTCTTCTGGTTTGGATACCAAATATTTTAAGAAGTCTACCAAAAACAAAAGCTTGACTCCAAGAAAAACTATTCAAGTTACGCCTACTTCTTGATATTTCATGTCTTTAGGTTTCATTAACAACTGCTTATTCAAAGACAGGACTAAAAATAGTGTATATCTTGAGACTTTCTATATCATTTTTCTGTAGTTCGATTTTTTGATGTGTTGTCCAGAGGATCATCGGAAAAAGTGATGATGATTGAGTATGAACATCTACATTATTATCTACTATAGAACTATTTAAATATAAACTAATTTTATTTTCCTTTACAGAACAATGAAGCTTTTTAAAAACCTGACTAAGATGAGTACTAGAAATATTACTAATTTCTGGATCTATCTTTAGTACTATGCTATTATCATATTTACTATATATTTCATTTAAATATTCAATCGTCTAGTTAATCTATTCTTGCTTCTAACTATTTACTTCATAATATGCCTTTTTTAATCTTGGATTTAATAAGATTGTTATCGCGTATATAGGACTATCACTTCTAGCATAATAAGATTTTAATTTATAAATGCTACTTCAATAGACTCATTAATTACTGGCAACAAACCTTTTTTCTCCAATTTCTCAAGATCATCTATAATGAGATTATATACTGGAATAGTGAGAGGCATTGTTATATATGATTCACCGTATATTGCTTTAGATATATCACAAAAGGTTTTTAATGATAATGAAATTTTACCTAATATTTTCCATTCTGATTTTTTAAGACCAAATGTACTTAGCTCAGGAACTTCTCTAACTATTTGATTTATTGCTAGAGCTATATTAATAGCTCATTCAATCATATCCAGGGTCAAGTTCTATCACATTTTTGAGTCAAGAACTGGACTCTTAAATTGTATGTTAAGAAATTTATATACTTCATTTAACTGTTGATGACATTGAGGTGAACGCCGAAATTTTTTAATAAGCTTACGAAGTTTTATAATTGTTGGAACTTGAGAAGTATTAGAGATATGAACTTGGTCTAAAATATTAAGGTTGTTATCTTCTTGATCTGGTGTCTCAGAAGGTAAATAAGATAAAAAATCTTGCAAAGCAAGATTAATAATATGGGTGATACACTGAACATGGTCTTGTCATTTAGTAAAGAAACCACTAATATCTATAGAATATGATTCAAATACTTCAAGAAATGTATTGTTATTAGAAGTATTATCAACTGTTATACCAAGTATTTTATGGGTAATACCAAATTCTTCGCAAATTCTTATTAACTTATCTGCTATATTTGTTCCCAAATGCAGTTCTTCGAATAGTACAAAATCAAGTACATGGCATTGAATTTCCTAGTTATTATCGAGCTAGTAGACCGTAACTCCTAAAAAAGCCTTATAGCTATTACTAGTCCATATGTCTATAGTAAGTGAAATCTTACTTGAGTTATTTTCTAGTATGTTTTTTAATAAAGCTTTTGACACCAAGTAATGTTCTAATAGATCTCTTTTAATTGTTCTTGCAAATGGAATCGTAATATTACTTTCTAACTTTCTAATTACTTTAAATAGTTTATAAAAACTTTCTGATTCTATGGTAGTAAATGGAAGGCTATCCTTTACAATTCACTTAACCAATGTTTCTCTAAGAAGATGTTTACCAGACTGAGGAAATAAAGCAGCTAACTCTTCAGGATCAATAATGCTTGAGATATTAATTTTGTAAATATTGATAACATGGCTACACAAATTCGAAGTACTACTATTATTTATAGTAAGATAATAGTCTCCTGGGTATTGCTTACATCTAGCTTTTTTTTACCCGATTCGTCTTCAATAGAAGGATCAAAAAACAACCATACCGGAACTGGTACGCGCATACTAGTTGTAGATGTTATTGTTCGAAATTAGAAAAGTGTTTTAATAACAGATTAGTTGTTAAAAGGAAATGAAGATATTGAATATACGATCTTTTTATTAATACTCAAGTTTGATGCTTTTTTAAGAAGTGCAGTTTTTCTGTTTATATATTTTGTCACAGCTGATTATGAAATCGGATTATTGTAAAATTTGGGGTCTCAATTTGAAAATATAGGCTCTACCAAAATCTACCAATACTCTTTTATTAAAAACTCTAACCCTAAATCCTAACTCAACTATAAAAAAAAAGCCTACAAAAAAGGCCTAAAAAAATTTAAAAATCGTACATGAAATAGATCCAAATTTCACAATAATCTGATTTCATAATCAGCCATAACATATTTTATTTATATTTTATTTATTATCACCTGCTATATTAATAATCTTTACATAATAGTATATAACAATCACATAAAATGATTGCATATATATAACACAGTAATTATTAAAAGCACAATAATCAAATTAACATAATATAGTGTTAAACAAGTATATAGTTATGCATAAAAATTAATGCGATTAAGCAAGCATAATGATCATACATAAGGATTACTATAAAAAGTGATTGAGCAAGTATAACAATCACGCATAAAGTTAAATAGTGCTCAAGCAAGCACAATGATCATACATAAAGATTAAATAGTGATCGAGAAAGTATAATAATCACGATATATGAAATTTAATAAATTAATTTTTAATTTGAAGTTTTACTGTTTAAATTTAATATTAATAAAAAAATAAAATTCATATATTGTTATAATAAAGTTTCTTAACCAGAATTTTTTTTTATTGTTATTATTATTATGTAAATTATTTACATCAAGTATAAAAAATTAGTATTACTAAACCTATCAACCCTACAGTATTACTATCCTAACCCTAATTCTAACCAAATATCGTCGTATAATAAGTGTATTAGAAAACCAGTCTAATTACTATTAACGTTATAGCACAAATGTATAAAACATCAATAACACTGTAGAACTATAGAACCACGATTCATACAAGCGAGAATAAATTATTTTTAGGTTTAAGATCTTATAAACTTAAAAATTTGCATAAAAAAAAAAATATTTAGATCTTATTTTTATTATTAAAACACCAGATCATTCAACCTTCAGAATTAAACAAGACAGAACAGCATTAAATAACGATAGTGGATTAATTTATCAAAAATATATAGATATGAGGAATCACTAGCAGATTAAAGTAAATTGTTAGAAATTGAACTGAATAATATAAGAAATAATTTGATATATCTCTAATTCTGAATTTATAAAATTGTAGTTTTTACTTGTTGATTTGACTAACATTTTGTTTTAGATAGCTATTTTCAGCTCTTTTAGTAGGTTTGGGTTTTGGGTAATTAAAGAGCTCTTGTTGAAGCAACACCCAGTAGATTAGACATATCAAATCCAGAACAAAACTAAAGAATCAGCATGACAGTTCAAGATTGTTCAACTTTCAAAATTAAACTAAACAGAACAGTATTAAATAGCAATAGTAGATTAACTTATCAAGAATGTGCAGACATAAAGAATCACTAGCAGATTAAAGTAAGCTGTTAGAAATTGAACTGAATAATATAAGAAATAATTTGATATGTTTCTGATTCTGAATGTATAAAATTGGTTATAGTTTTTACTTGTTGATTTGACTAATATTTTTTTTTTCAAGTAACTATTTTCAGCTCTTTCAGTAGGTTTGAGTTTTGAGCGCTGTTTCTTTAGTTTTGTTCTAGATTTGACATGTTTAATCTTCTGGGTATTGTTTAAACAGGAGTGACCATTCAAATTCGTAAATGATTCTGATATAGTTGCACAATTGATGTATAATTTTTTTTATACATTTTACAATACTTCTTTTAAAAGCTTAGGTAGTTTAATTTTTTATAAAATAAGATATTTTTGCTTCATCTATAACATATTTTTTGAATCTCTGTGAGTTTCACAACTTTTTTTTTGCAATCGAATTGGCTGATTTGCTAAAATTCGAGAGACAATCAAGTGTAATTATATTAAAATTATCTACGAATTTAAACAGTGCTCCTGTTTGTTGCTTAAGGGTATTGTTAAGCTTCCAGTTTTCTATTTTCATTCTGGTTCTTAGAAATTTAGAGAGTATGATTTTTTGGCAAAATAGTTCTTGAATTTCTTGAATGGAT